TTCCACTACCGTAGGTATTGTCATGTTTTGTGGTACATAGTATTTGTCAAGGTAGGGGCAGTAGTAGTTATTTTTTCATCTGGAGTATAAAGTGGTCTCTGGCTAATTAGGCAGTGTAAGGTAGTCAAGGGGTGTGCTTTTTATATGCACAATTCAGGAAAATAAGACAGTTTTTATGACAAGGGCTCTTATTCTTGGAATACCATTTGAACCTTTCTTTCTCTCTCTCTCTCTCTCTTTAAAATCTAGATGCACTCACCTATCTTACACTGAATAGATTAAACTGCTTTAAATTTGACAAAAGTTGTCATACAATAAGCTTCACCGAAGGACTTGGAAAGGTAAATTTCAAGCGATCAATTTCAGCAAAAAGGCAATCTTTTAGACATATGAGAATTCTAAAAGGCAATCTTTTAGAAATATGAGAATTCTGAAGTGTCTAATATCCACTTTCTGCTGCATTTTATCACACCTGTAACTTTTGACCTTTTTCGCAAGTCAGTTTAATTGGGTTAGGAGGTCAAAAGCAACTGAGCTCAACTTGATCTTTGGTGTCTTCTTAGGTGCTATCTCTGACAAGAAATTGAAAGGTCCCCTGTATATCCATTTCAATGTGAAGTTCATGAATAATATTTAAGATCATATGTCGCTTTTTCAAACTGTAAATACTTCTACTGCTGCTGACCTGTGCCTGAATCTGTATGCAAACGGTTAGACAAGTAATAATTGATATAAACACAGATTTAAAAGGATTTTGTAGTCCTTATGTATAACCCATTCGTCTTTGTGATTCTGTTTGAGAAGCATAGAGAAAATATCGGCTTGATATAAATATATATATATTTTCTATTATCATCAACAGTTTCCCATGAATTCTTTACCACTTTTTTTGTTGGGGGGGGGGGGGGGGAGGGTCGGTGGGGAAGAAATATTTGGGTATTCAAAATAAATTATCAAAAAGAGTTTTTACATAACTCTGTATTCCATTAGTTACAAATATTTGTCTGCTTGACTAAGGAACAGTGGCTTGATATTTATGGTAATCAAATTTTCATTTCAATATTAATATTTATTTTATTATTTTTCATTTTTCATTTTTTTTTTTTGGGGGGGGTAGGTGTGGGTCTTTTTTGGTAATATTACTGCCAAAGAACTTCAACACTAAATTAAATTTGTCATTTTAGATATCAGATACTGGCACTTCTTTTAAGTATATAGAGAGATAGTCTACTTAATACTTGATACTTGATGAAGTAATCCCTGAAGCAGCTTTTCCAAGCCATACTGGGATGGGATGTATTGTGACAGCAGGTGAAGGTGCAGACAACAAAAAGGTGTACATATTCTAAAAAGGGGGCTTAGTTCAATATGGCTTGAGTTAGTCCAGTGATTTACCACATCAATTCAGTAAATAAAAGTTATTATTTCACAGAATAAAAAAACAAAAATGATTGTCAAGACAATTTATACAAACAAGACTGAATTTTCTCGTAGAAAGAGCATTATGTTGATTATCGCAGGATGAAGAGGTTGACATTCCACACTCCACACATCAATGAATAGACTAACTCTACAAACCTAGCCGAAAGGGCTTACTTAAAATCATTGGGTCATCGTGTCATCGTGTCCGGTCTGGTGGTCGCATTCCACGACCTTGCGTGAAACGAAAAGCGGAGGATGAGGCGACCTTTTGTCGAATTGCCATAGGGTTTTCACAAAGTGTCTGGTAAATTGGACCAGACCATTTGTAGAGGAAATGGGTTTTATTTCACAGACATTACCCGCTACATTTTGTGAATAAAGGGGCATGTTTTCACAAAGGTCGGGTAATGCGATGACCCGGCCCGAAGCGATGACCTGATGATTCGCAGTAAGCCGCCTAAAGTTAGGCAGCTTTAAAAAATATGGGCATAGTCTACTGGGTGGTTAAGAAAAGGATGTTGGACCATTATATTCTTTAGGTATTCAATATTTTATTCTAGAAAAGTCACATTATCTTGTTTCATACAAGACAGATTGATGGTGAATTTATGTTTAATTAAATACATTTTAATTTACAAGTCGAATACATATGAAATATAAAAAGTGATAATGTTTATAATATATAAACTAAGCACTTGCTTCCATCTAACAATGTATACTACATGTATACTTAACGTACATGTCAATAACACACACATGTTTGACAGAAGAACAAAATTGAGAAGAAAGATAATTACAAGTGCGGTCTCACTACAATGATAAAGTTATTTTCTATCAATTTAATATTGGAATTCTTCTTATCAAAATCTGTAAGGACTGTAAGAACAGGCAATCTAGATTATCTGTCTTTTTGTGTAGCTTTGTATCTAATAGTCTATTATTATGCATTACACATTCCAAGAATGTGAAATATATTATATTGAATAATTCAAATTATTGCATCAATTACCTCCAATAGTTTAAAAATATCTTATTAAGCAACAAAACATTTTTTGAAATTTATTTAGCTTTGTATAAATGAGATATAAGGCGGACATGAAAAACATATACAGTACTATTGCTGGCATATTTCTAAAAATGAATGACCCTGAAGTTGGACGCAACAAGACATATCAAACAACGCAGCCAAGCAAGCTATTTTAGAATCCTTTATTGCATGCTTTGAATAGACATGAGGTAAAATTCGTACTTATCTTTTTGTGCAGAAATACAAGAAGTTCTAGAAACTTGTCTAATGCCAAAACTGAAAAAACTGAAGGAATTTCATGTAGATTATGGACAAAATTCTTAGAGAATGATTATTTCAGTACACAAATTTTGACAATAATATGAACTTTCTAAATATTATGCTTGAGAAGTTTATAGAATATGGGGCCAGAACTCATCCAGAACTCATAACGAGAAATGCATTCACTCTGGACCTTGTGTCAAGCCAGATAAAGTGTACTTGGTGTCAGGGGAGTTTGCGAATACAACATCACCATTAATACACTTCTACCTAGGACGATTCCAATTTCTCTTTTCTACTTGCAAAAATGGATTAGTCTTTCAATTGATATAATCTAATTGACTAATCCCTTGATCCCATTTCAATTTGCCATTTCAAGGTCTGATTAAAAATAGAAATAGCCTGTTCACCAATTTCGGTGGCAACAGGGGATTGAAGCCCATACTGAAACTGACCTTCCAAACCTCAAATCAAATTAGGTAAATGACACAAACCATAATGCACTGAAAGGCGCCCAGACTCTATCATTCCAGTCGTTGGATTTCAAATCACTGACCTTCCATACCTTATATCAAATTATATAAATGATGCAAATCATAATGCACTGAAGGCGCATAAACTATCATTACAGTCGCTGGATTCGTATCAAGTGTATATGCATCTATGCAGTGTGTGCACCATCTCCACTCTCTGGGTACAATTTGTTTCAAGAATTAAAACTAAAGAAATTACTCGTAAATGCATTTGAGGAAGGGGCTTCTCTATTAAAGCTACATTCTACTTCCATGTCAGACTGATCTATCGACGGAAAATTGCATTGCAAGAGTTCTTTTCATCATCAAACTTGGTTCATTTTAGAGTAATGAAGGCAGCATCCCACTTTGCCAATGTCTACTGCTTTCAGTTGCAGTTTTAGTTTTATTTTGGCCTAATCTAATTGACTAATCCCTTGATCCCATTTCAATTTCCAATTTCAAGGTCACTGGCTTCTATTCTCTACTACACAGTACTAAAGCAAGCGTGCAAGTAATTTGTCTGTGTTAGTATGAACTGACGAAGCCGCCATATATATTAATTTAGGGATAGTTTGTCGGTTTATTATAACGGCAACAAACTTTGTAATTAACCTACAACTCATCCTCCATCACCACCATTGTCACCATTCAGCGTCTTCTCTTCCACGCTGTGGGATTGGACATTTCATTTCATCCTACCATGTTTCTATTTTTATCTTTGGAATGCATGCAGAATAGGGCTTTGCCAAAGGAGAACCATGCAATGGGTAGTATTTGAACCTGTATTGTTTGATTAACTGCAGCAGACCCAATAGACCCCCAAATGCCTATCAAAATTAATAAATTAATGCCAAGTCAAATCAGAATAAATACCGTTTGCAGGATCTTTATCAATAACATTATAATGAAATCCTTACACATGGACGGATTGGGAAATCACAAATGAAAAAACAAAAGAACTATATACTTCTCACAACAATGCCATGTTCCCAAACTTTAAACTTGCTGGCAAAATGGTTCATTGATATATATGATTATCATGTAAACAATGATTGGAAAAGATAATAAGGTGAAAATAAGTTGGTAAGAGTATATCATCTATTTTATGTTAAGATCTTACATTTTTATCTAAAAACAATGAATACACTGTAGGCTGTTAAAGGTATTACAAAGTTTTGGTAAATTTGGAAAAATGGGTGGATAATGATTCTTTACAATTTTGATATATTTGGATGCCCCTGTGGATGTATTCAAATCACTAGAAATTTTAGCCCCTAAAACACTTCTGCTTTTGAGAAAAATCGAATATAAAGATTTACCGGTGCTCCCGGTAAATTTTGATAAATTTCAAATAGCTCCTACGGCCGTACAATGGTAGCTGCGACCATGAAAATCTCGGAATATGTAGTTGTGCTATATAATTTCCGAACGGGAATAGCTAATCGGTCGATTTTAGTCAAGATACATCGTTTTATAGCTTAATTAATATCTTGACCTTGAGAGGGAGCTATACAACATAAAGTGTTTATTATTTACAATTTCATAAATTTAGAGTCGATTTCGACCTCGACAATGATCACTGCATATTGTAGGATCGCATATGCTTCCAATATGTTCATTTGAACCAAATTCATCATCCCATACCAAAACTTTGTATTACCTTTAAGGTCTAAAAGGGAATTAACTCTGTGTTAAAGGACATAAGTTAAAGCCCTTCTCGCTCTCCGCAGATAAAGCAAGGGGAGGGGGTGGGGGAGGAGGGGGGGGGGGTAATGGAAAAGAGCTTAAGGGACTAGGAGCTGAAATATTGCTGATAAAGCAACCATAACACCCTCTATCTATTAATTGAAGAGCTCCTTTAAGCTCTCAAACTCGAGGTAGACGGCCATCCATACACAGGGAAAGTTTCCCAGATTTCCAAGAATCCGGAAACCTGGACTTTTAGCAGAATATGCACCATCAGGGATGCAATAATTGAGCAAATGTTAAACCAGTGCTCAGACTCATTTCTTGCCGACCTTTCCCTCCATTTCTCATTGTCCTTTAAAGATGGATGACCGAGGTGGAGATAGCATCTTGTTGCGTGACGGTTATCGCTCCTCCTGTCCGTCGTTCTCCTTCTCTGCGAGTGCATGATCCATCATTTCTTCGATCCTGGTCATCTTCTCACGAGGCTTCCCGACCAGCTCCCCCCTCGCTCTCTCCTCCGCATCGATCTTGGTCCAATCAGAGAAAGTGATGGGCGTTACCCCTGGGAGTCAAGATGAAAGAAAGATTATGCAAAATAGAGGAGTGTTACGATTCTCCCGCTGGCTTTTCGGCTGGCTCGCTAGACGCCAAGGGAAACAGCGGGAAGAGATTTCATGGAGGAAATAAAGAGCCTGTCAGATAACCTAGATCATCGCAGTGTAATCTGCATTACCAATTGATAGATTCATGGAGCTTTTCATTGAATATTGATGTCATCACTTTAGGAGTGGCATGTTGTGTCAAGTCAAAAAGCATGTGATATGTCTACCCAATTGAATCTTGCAAGGTTTATTAGAAATCTTCTTCTGCCCTCTTGTCTGCCCTCTCTTTTTTTTTGTGAAGTATCTAGTGAAACAAATCCATAAATCATTTTCTTAAAATAATTCACAAAAACCACTTTAGTTCATATAAATTGTGATTGCATGCACAGCAAGGCAAATGCCAAGTATCGTCTAGCATACGTCTCACGATGCGACTGAGAACACAATGCACATATAAAAATAATGCCATATAAAGCTTACAGCAGTTCAGGATGAAACAAAATGAAACATAACATTACAAAAGAGAAACAAGAAAGGGTACCAAAGAGATTTGAAACAAAGATTTGAGAGATAGAAAGATAGAAAAATAAAAGTTGAGAGAAATAGAAAGAGATAAGAGATTCAATGAACATAAGAGAACAGAGGGAATGAGAGAGAGAGAGAGAGAGAGAGAGAGAGAGGGGAGAGGGGAAGAGACATAGAGAAATAATACTATTAATAATGGATAAAACAGTAGCTAACAATTTGAAAAATAGTGACGAAACTCCAATCTCATAATATAAGAACATTAGCAAGGTGTTTTTTTAGTAGAATTAAATATTTATGATACATGCATTTCTCTTTAGGAGGGAAGGGGCAAGGGAAGGGGAAATGTTTTCAATGCATGGTGCACTTAATGTATCAGAGGTTAACTACTGAATGTACTTTCCAAAGGTGGAAAGGAGAGCCTAAATATCTTTTATACTTATCAAAGAAACCTGAGAAGAATATATATTGACCAATTTTCAAATGTCATGCATACTTCAATAGTGGAGAAAACACAAAAGTCTCGCCTGGCGTTGCCCATATTCAAAACAGCAACAACTTGTATGTTACATGTACACTTTCTGTTGCCCATAAAAGTTCGGAAAATGTCTTTTGTATACCTCTTTTCTTGAAATGACTGTAACAATATATGTTTTTTTCTTGATAGATAAAGGTTATATTATCTCAGAAAGTTATTGACCAATCTCTATGATACTTGAAAGAAGATATAATCTTTTTCTTTCAAGAATAAATCATATTGTCACAAACATTTTACGAAAAAGAGGAAATAATTTGTTGTTTTAATATAACTTTATGTAAATGTAAGATAGGTTCAGAATGATACTACCAGTATTACACACAATTGGAGAATTTATTGTTTCTGTTAAGATCCAGAAGGACGTTAATTCTCTGCAAAAGTGACAGGAGTTATGCCCCTCTGTCTCTCAACAAATGATGTAATACAAGAAACTGTTGGCAGAAACATCAACAAACAGGAATACAGCAGTATGTACATCCGTTTCATTGACCTGCCTGTATAGAATTAGCAAAGGCTTCAAGCAAAACGCATATATTCCAGTGCTTTGCTTGGCTCTCCACATAAATGAAAACAAAAGCCAAGAAATAACAACCATATTACCTACTGTACCGCAGTTTGACATTGTATTTTGCTCATTGATTCAAGCATATTTTGGACTTTTCATAAACTTTGAAAAGAACTTTTTATTCTACAACCCTTCTATGGCCTTCATCTCTCTCTCTCCCCCTCTCTCTCTCTCTCTCTCTCTCTTGCTCTCTCTCTCTGTTAAACCCCTTTGAAATGTTAAAATACAAAATTTTGAATTTTTATAAATCCTTTAAAATGGGCCCTTTTCATATCAAAATGTTTTTAAAATGTGTTGTACATTCAGGATGCCACTACTCATACTGGATTGTTGCACATCTATAATACCAGAAACAACATTTAGCATCCAATACAAATAGATAAGAGAAATTGTTTTTCCTTCATCAAATCATTTATACCCTCTTTAAGTCTACAAAATGGATCCCCTTTATACTGATTGTTCATTAAAATTATCTTATCTATAAATGTAACCTAACTTATAGAATACACCCTGAATAGAGTGACATGCACTATGGCTGAAACAAGAAACATGTTTTATCTCATGATCACCTTCCCTGATAGGAAAATGCTTCCCAATAATATACAACCTCATTTTGCTATAAGTCAATTTAATTTCCAATTGGTATACCCCCAAGCAATAATGAAGGTCCTTTTGTTGCCTTAAATGGCCATTTCCGAGCAAAATCCCGGGCTAAAACAGTCCATTGTTGCTGTTCCTGTGAAGGACTATTCATAGGCAATAAAGTGCAGCTTTTTTCAATTAATTGCTAGTCAATATGTGCCATGAATAAAATAGTGCAATCATTATTTTATTGTTCATTTCTGATACCCTAGCATCCAGGATCCAAATTAATTTCAGCATTGATAGATATGCACTGTCCTCTTGATGCTCAAATTAATTGCAACAGTCCAATCATTTCAATTTATTAAAATGATGTTCTATCTAGATGGTAATTGCAAATATTAGATAGCCAAAGCACACATAGCTCTGGTCTGAGGGTGCTTATCAATCATTTCAATACCAATGGGTGAATGCTGCGCTAATCTTATGATACTAAATTATTAACTTGTGTTTTCCCCAACCTCCAAACTCTAAATTATGGCTACATTAAAAATAAACTAAGCAACTAAAACCACTCACAAGACAAAGACACAACTTTAGCTTATAATTTCACCCTTAAGATGGTCTATTTTCATCTGCACATCCTCTCGTTAGCACAGCTTATTGGATCATGTGAATTTTATTGAATACTACGACGCTAACTTATTCATGCTTTCCTCTATAAACCTTTTTGAAGACACCATATACTCCACAGATTCCATTCCATACACTTCAGACAGCCCCAATCCCTTCAAAAACTTTTGATTCAATTTCGGAGCTCCTAATGCACAATGTGATTTGCCAGCTTCCCAATAATTCCATCCCCCGGTGATTACCCCTAACAAATTCAAGGAGTCACCGTTGGAACAAATTCGAGCGTAATTGCGGAGCCCTCCCAGGACCAAGAGACGGGCCCGGCTCCCACCTTCGAGGTGGAGAAGAAAGAATTATTTTCAAATTAGGCCAACATTACTAGAGGCAGAGATGACTTCGACAAGAGAATTACCTCATGAGCCTCCCTGATGCAAAAAACATTCTACAAACACCACCCAAATGAGTTGGAGGAAACACCTAACAGACTTCTACTCAATCGGGAGAGGGAACATGGAGAGGCGGGAAGGAGAATGATTTCAAATTATCACTATTTTGTCCCCCATGTACTGTGCATTGGATAATTTGATAACCTGTTGTCGCCCCGGGCAACGCATCAAACAAATCAAAAATGTTTGATGAAGAAACGCTTTGAATGGAGAGAGAGAGAGGGAGGGAGGGAAAATAAAAATGGCTTTTTCTCGTTATGTGATATGGCTTGATCAATGAAGAGGATTCTCAAGATGATGAATAATAGTTCCCTCTGAATTAAAAACTGATTTCTCTCATAGTCCTTCATTCTCATCCATCCTCTGGCTTGATTTAAAAGAATTCTTCATGGAACTCATAATAATGCTCTTTCAGGACCAGATTGTGTTCAACATTGATTAACCTTATTTGTTCAGACATCCATTTAATGTTTTTCTGACAATAGGTCTGTCGTCATCAGCCAAGTTGGCTAAACAGCCCGCTATTTTGTGATCCGGGAAATGAGCCCGAAGTTACAAAATGCGTCTTCATCAGCTCGAAACTTGAGCTCGAGAATTGTTCTCAATGTTCCCGCATAGTGTGAGTCTTTGGGCGGGTTAAGACAGACCACAGATAGAGGGCTTTTTTGCAAACTAGCCAAAGATATCTTGGGAAGGCATCCTGAGCAAAGAGCCCACTATCTGTATCTTCACCTGCCAAATAGCCCGCTATTTCGTGGTCTGGCTAATTTACTGGATCAGAAATAGCGGGTTATTCGGCCAACTCTGGCTGATGAAGCCAGGCCTACAAGCTACAGATACAAGCCAAGTACTTATGTATACATTATGTTGTAGCACGGGCTGTATACATTGCACAATAACCATTTCTTTTACACATTTTCCTCTAGAGCATATCCCAGCAACACAAGACAGACAGCCTTCATTCAATATTAACAAATTGAGGGCTGAAGTTGAAATTTTGAAATAAAAAATGTGCCACTGCTAATGTAAAAAAATAAATAAAACTTGAAAATTTGTACTCCCTTTTTAATCTACCGTACAGTACATTTTTATTTGGATGTCAAATGTCAGGGGGGGGGGGAGGAGAAATCTGAAATCCATATTATAGTGACACTCATCAGTTAAAAGGAGAGGAGCAATTGTAATGACAGTTCAACTATCATCTTCACATATAGCACAAGGTATTTTAAGTTTGAACAATGGATGTGCCAACAAGTGATTGAATGAACGTCCTTAAGTTCTTCCCCCCACCTTCTGCACTATACAAAGCAGAACAAAACAATATTGATGGATATTCATGACTTGCGACTGTGCCTTGAGTGGGTTTCGAATGTCTTTCTTTTGATATTTCTTGAGAAATGTGATCTCTGTAACGGGAGCACAAGATACTTGGAAAAGCAAGCAAGAGTGATGTTAAGTTGAAGTGTCAACGTTGAACACTCGACATTTAAAGGCAAAAGGTGACATTTTCACCTATAACACATAAATCTAAAGCTTTGCTTGAGGGAAAAACATTTGAAGCATTAAAACTGATAGTAGGCTTTAGTTCTGTCAATGCATGTTTGAATAAAAGAAACGGGTCAAATGTTCATAGATAGTTTCTTATACATTGTATACATAACCTATATTTGT